AAATGGTAATAAAAGCTATTTTTATTGGCATTTAATATACTTCTTCAGTAGAGGAAAGTGAAAGTTGTAGAGATACCAGACAGAAAATCCAAGAGTTGATAGAAAAATCCTTGGAGAGAGAATTATATTTGGAAAAAAAAAATGCATTCTGGCCCTAAAAAAGCATGACTGAGCATAACAAAATGACACCTTTTATAATTTATCCTTTCCCCATCCTCAGTACTGGAAGGAAAATATGAAGAAGTTAGGTTTCAAACCCAGGAGCACTTTACCACTGAGTGACATCTCAAGACCTTTTTATTTTTCATTTTGAGACAGGATTTCACCAAATTGCCTGAGCTGGCCTTGAATTGTTGGGATTGCAAACTATCATGCCAGGTTTCCACACGAGTGTTTTAAATAACAAGTGTGCAACCTTTTTTTTTTTTTTCCTGTTGAACTATTATCTTGACTTGCTATTCAAGTTTTCAGCATTTATTCTCCAGAATCTTACCAAAAAGTTAATTCTGGGGAATTCCCTTGTATAGCTAAGTGTAGGGTCTTAAGTTACCTGGTTTCTTGCCATCAAATTTCCATAGAACCTGTTCGGTAAAGAAAACATTTATTCTATGACTTGTACTTTAAAGTTAGAGGATATTAGAATTTTAAAAAATCTGAGAGATCATGAAGTTCAACACCTGAAACATAGAAAAGAGGACAAGAACAATAAGAATTACAAAGACTGAAGTAAATATCTGTAGTTCATGAATATCTTCATATTCAGTTGAGTACTTAATGTAATCTATGTTCATATATAGTAATTTAGAAAAATGCAATGATTAATGAAAAATTCTAGTGCTTAAGAAATTGTTTGGCAGTCAATATGATTGTAGTGTGGATAAAGGTAATAAATTACTACTAAGTTACATGTTTATTTGATTTTATGTATTTTATTCTAACTCTCATTTTCTAAATTTAAATGACCTTGTTTATTCCTTTCTGAGTTGTATGGGAAGGAGTTTACTTACATGCACTTGTTCATTTTTTGCTTATTATAGTTTTGTTTCTCTTGATATACAAAAAAATAAAATAATGCAATTAAATATTTGTGAAAAATAATTGAATCCTAACTAGGAAGTACATATAATTTGTTTTGGATTCCAAATTATTAAGTACTATTCAAAAGAAACATTTTAACCACTAATTGTGAAACTTAACCTAGACTTTTATTACTCTATTTGAAAATTCCCTAAGTGTTGAAAAGAAGAAACCATGGATAATTTGTAAATAAACACACACTATTGAAAAAAAGTTCAAAATTGTGATGTTGCTACATTTGTTTAATTGTCTGTTAACAACTTGAACATATACTACAAAATCATGACAGTGGTTAGTAAGAAGATCTCATTAGTTCCAAGTTATTTTCATGTCCATGATCATAATACTTTGAATTTTACTGCACTCACTTTCCTATTCTTTCTTTTTTTAAATGCCTAATATTTCTTATTGAAATTTTTTAATAGATGAACACAATGCCTTTATTTTATTTATTTATGTTTATGTGATACTGAGAATCAAACTTATGCTAGGCATGTGCTCTATCACTGAGCCTTAACCCCAGTCCCTTGATTCTTAATTTTTTTAGTGGTGCAGTATAATTATAAATAATAGTGGGATTTGTTGTTTTGGCCCCTAGAAAAATCCTATTGTTACTTTACTGGTTTAGTCAGGCCTTATCTCCATCAGGACTGTTCTGTGTCTGTGAATTATTTCTACTGAGTGGGTGTAAATCTGGGGAACTCACAAGATTTTATTGCCTTTAATGAATGATGATTGTATTCCACAGTGAGGGATTTAAATAAAGAGCTACTATTAAAGAGGAATGATTGAGGCTGGGGTTGTGGCTCAGCAGTAGAGCACTCACCTAGCACATACAGGGCATTGGGTTCAATCCTCAGCACCACATAAAAATAAAATAAAAGCATTGTGTCCAACTACTACAAAACAAAGTATTTTTTTTAAAAGAGGAATGATTAAAAAAATACATTGTATTTTGTGTGAGTTTGTCTCTGTGACTTCTATTCTGTGCCATTGGTCTACATGCCTTTTTGGTGCCAATACCATACCATTTTTTTTGTTACTATAGCTCTGTAGTATAGTTTAAGGTCTGATATTGTGTTTTCTCCTCCTTCACTTTTCTTACTGAGGATTACTTTGGTTATTATGGGTCTCTTAATACATTTAATGATTGCTTTTTATACCTCCATGAGTAATGTCATTGGAATTTTAATAGGAATTGCATTAAATATATATAATGCTTTTGGTAGTACAACCATTTTTACAATATTAATTCTGCCTGTCCAGGAGCATGGGAGATCTTTCCATCTTCTGAGGTTTTATTCAATTTATTTCTTTAGTGTTTTCCAATTTTCATTGTGGAGGTCTTTCACCTCTTTTGTTAGATTGATTCCATGTTATTTAATTAATTAATTTATTTATTTAAGGTTATTGTGAATGGGGTAGTTTTCCTAATCTTTCTCAGTGGATTCATCACTGATGTATAGAAATGCATTTGATTTATAGGTGTTGATTTTATATCCTGATACTTTACTAAATTCATTTATTCATTCTAGAAGTTCTGGTGGAATTTTTTGATCCTGTAGATATAGAATAATGTCATCAGCAAATAATGATAGTTTGAGTTCTTGTTTACCTATTTGTATCCCTTTAATTTCTTTCTTCTGTCTAATTGCTCTGGCTAGAGTTTCAAGGATGATATTGAATAGAAGTGGTGAAAAAGAACATGCCTTGTTTTGTTCCAGTTTTTAAAGGGAATGCTTTCAATTTTTCTCCATTTAGAATGATGCTGACTTTGGGTTTAGCACATATAGCTTTTACAATGTTGAGGTATGTTGCTACTATCCCTAGTTTTTCTAGTGTTTTGAAGATGAAGGTATGCTGTATTTTGTCAAATGCTTTTTATGCATCTATTGAGATGATCATATTATTCTTGTTTTAAGTTTTTTAATATGATTAATTAATTTTATTTATTTCTGTATGTTGAACCAACACTGCCTTCCTGGGATGAACCCCACTTGATTGTGGTGCACTTTCTTTTTTAATATGTTTTTGTATGCAATTTTCCAGAATTTTATAGAGAATTTTTGCTTCTATGTTCCTCAGAGATATTAGTCTGAAGTTTGCTTTCCTTAATGAATCTGTCTGGTTTTGGTATCAGGGTGATATTAGCCTTATAGAATGAGTTTGGAAGAGTTCCCTCCTTTTCTAGTTCATTGAATACTTTAAAGAGCATTGGAATTAATTCTTCTTTGAAAGTCTTGTAGAACTCAGCTGAGAATTCATTTGGTCCTGGGCTTTTCTTGGTTGGTAGTCTTTTGATGGTGTTTTCTATTTCATTATTTGAAATTGATCTGCTTAAATCATGTGCGACCTCCTTATTCAGTTTGAGCAGGTCATATGTCTCTAGAAATATGTCAGTGTCTTTGATGTTTTCTCTTTTATTGGAGTATAAATTTTCAAAAGAGTCTAATTATCTTCTGTATTTCAGAAATGTCTGTTGTGGTATTTCCTTCTTCATGTCATATTTTAGTAATTTGAGTTTTCTCTTTTTCTCTTTGTTAACATGGCTAGGGGCTTATCTATTTAATTTATTTGTTCAAAGAACTAACCTTTCATTGGAGAGCCTCCTTGATTGTTCCCTTTCTCTGACTCATTTAAATGTGTACAATTTTAATTTGTTATTCTCACAATGGGATGGTTTAATATGTTTGTTAATCTGAGTTTGTCCTGTACTTTTTCCTTAAAATGAAAAAATTGCTTGGATTTAAAACAACTCTTTGGGGTTGACAAAGGTTCAGGTAGTAAGGAAAACCTAGGACAACAACAGAATTTCCAGGCATCCAAGCATAAGTGGGGCCTCCCAGTCAGGCTGACAGAAAAAAAAAAAAAAAACAAAAACCAAAAACAAAGACAACAAAACAAGATTCATCCTAGGGATATTTAAAAAATATACCTTTACTTTTTATTTATTTTTATGTGGTGCTGAGGATTGAACCCAGTGCCTCACACATGCTAGGCAAGTGCTCTACCACTGAACCACAAACCTCAGCCCCTTGCCTAGGGTTTTAATCTAGGGTAGTGGGATCCTATTCTCAGACCTCCACATTTCAATCTCATGCCTCAATAGGTTGATACTCTGCTGATATTAATTTAAATTGGTACAAACTTCTCAAAGTATATACTTGAGATTCTGAATTATCTGTTGGGAAAATATGCTAAAATCACAACACCCTTGAAAAATTTCCTTAAGAATCTGTAAATAAAATTGCTGGTGTAAAAGAATGTTTTGGTTTCTTTCACAGTTTCCTGACTTTCTTGGACTACACAAGTTTAGCGACTCAGCAATGGCTTAGTGCTTGTCATTGTAGCTAAATTTGAGTTGAATGCAATTAACCAAAGGATTCATTTCAGCAAGTGGAATAAAGAAAATCTCATGGGTACTTAAGTGGTAGAGGACAAAGGTATATTTCTGAGCCCCCAATTTTTCCCCTTCATGCACACTACCAGCTTCTAGTTTACTCCTTATCGATTTATATGAGTCAGTCAGCATTATAAAAAGAAAAAAAAAGCTGAGAGGTTGTTGAAATGAATAGGGTAACAAAAAGCATTATGAAACCATCTCTGTTTCTGCTCTCCAAATAAATGTTCATCTTCGGTGTATCTTTGTTACACTTGATCTTTCCATCATATTGGAAACTCATGTTTTGTCTAGATGAAAACATACATGTACATCACAAACACTTTTCATCATGGTTGAAATTATTAGAAGATATTCTTAGTAGTGAGGCAAAATATTCTGACCCACTGACTCTGCATATGCTTTCCCTCTGCATTTCCTTCAGACCCTTTGCAGCCTGTGAAGGAATTCAGTTCTAAGCAAACTTGGCCTGAGCTCACTTCTGGTCACCACCCTCCTCCATTTCCTTTTCCGGGCTTCTTGGTTCTGCCAGCTGTGGAGACAGCAGGGCTGCTCTGCGAGTGTGTGTGTGTGTGTGTGTGTGTGTGTGTGTGTGTGCAGTTCAAACTGGTCACTACGTAACTGCTGGTGGAATCGGAGAATGCTATCACTTTTGACTGCAGTGCTGGGTTCTGTCCTTACACTTGTTTACTTTCTGGAGAGGAGGCTACATTGAAAGGTAAAATTTTCTTTTTAATCTCTTAAAGATTTGTCCAATATCTACTGAGCATTTTGCTAGTTAGAATAATTTCTGTTTTGAGCAGTTTCCTAATTTGATTGTTCTTTGCATAATTCTAATTTTTTCCCCATGGGAAACTCAGTTCTGTTGTTTATGTCATGAAGAATCTTTCAAGTTTTCAATGTTCACATATTTTTCTGGGTTCAGTGGAATGCTTCTGAATTCAGAAGCATTGCCAAGATTGGAGATCTTCTCTTGAGAAATCAAGGCACTTCAGGATAAAGAAATCCTCTTTGAGACCTCGTCTTTCTTTTCTTTCCCTGTCTTCTACACACACACACACACACACACACACACACACACACACTCACACACACACACACACACACACACACATCACTCTGAAGCACATTCCAGAATACAGACTGTGTTGTTTACTACATTTATTCCAGGAGTTGAAACTGGATGTGGACCTGATAGAGTCAAATTTTGTTACTGTGGAATGAATTAAAGAATGTGTGTTTTTATTAAGAGTCATTTAGTTTTTTTTTAATTTTAGCTTTAAATTTTTTTTCATTTATTTTAATTAGTTCTACGTGACAGTAGAATGCACTTTGATATATCATACATAGATGACATGTAATTTCTCATTTTTCTGGGTGTACATGTTGCAGAATCATATTGTAGTCACATATATACACACAGTAATAATGTCTGTTTTATTTTCATACTATCTTTCCTATCCTCACATTTCTTCCCCTCCCTTCCCATCATTTCCCTCTACCCAATCTAAGGTGCTGCTATTCTTCCCTAGTGCTCCCCCATCATATTGTGAATTAGCATCTGCATATTAGAGAAAATATTTGGCCTTTGGTTTTATAGGATTGGCTTACTTTGCTTAGCATGATATTCTCCAACACTAACCATTTACTGGCAAATACCATGATTTCACTCTTCTTTAAAGCTGAGTAATTTTTCATTGCATGTATATACCACATTTTCTTTATTCATTCATCTATTGAGGGACACTTCAATAGGTTGGTTCCATAGTCTAGTTGTTGTGAATTGAGCTGCTATAAACATTGATGTGGCTGCATCACTATAGTATGCTGATTTTAAGTCCTTTGGGTATAAACCAAGGTGTGGGATAGCTGGATCAAATGGTCTATTCCCAGTTTTCTGAGGAATCTCCATACTGTTTTCCATAGTGGTTGCACTAATTTAAAGTCCCATTAGCAATGTATGAGTGTACCTTTTTCATCTCATCCTCACCAACATTTATTGTTGCCTGTATTCTTCATGATTGCCATTCTGACAGGAGTGAGATGAAATCTTAGAGTAGTTTTGATTTGCATTTCTGTAATTGCTAGAGATGTTGAACACTTTTTCATATATTTGCTGATCAATTGTATATCTTCTTCTGTGAAGTATATGTTCAGTTCCTTAGCCCATTTATTGATTGGGTTATTTGTGTTTTTTTGTTTTTTTTTTTTTTAAGTTTTTTGAGTTCTTTATATGTCCTAGAGATTAATGCTTTATCAGAGGTGTATGTGGTAAAGATTTCCTCACAATCTATAGGGTCTCTCCTCATGTTATTAATTATTTGTTTTGTTAAGAAAAAACTTTTTAATTTGAATCCATCCCATTTATTAATTCTTGATTTTACTTCTTACACTTTAGGAGTCTTGTTAAGGAAGTCAGATCCCAGGCCAACATAGTGAAGATTTGGATCTATTTTTTCTTCTTTTAGGCCCAGACTCTTTGTTCTAGTGTCTAAGTCTTTGATCCACTTTGAGTTGATTTTTGAGCAGAGTGAGAGATAGAGGTTTAATTTCATTTTGCTGTATATGGATTTTCAGTTTTGCCAGCATCATTTGTTGAATGGCGCCCTCTCAAATATTAAGGGCAAAATGATTGTTTGAAAATCATGCTAAAATTCATGCTATCTTTTCTCCAGTGAATGATTTTGGTACTCCTGTCTGGTATGAGATAACTGTATTTATGTGTATTTATGTTTCTGTGTCCTCTGTTCTGTAACATTGGTCAACAAGTCTATTTTGGTGCCAATACCAAGTCATTTTTGTTACTATAGCTCTGTGGTATAGTTTAAGTTCTGGTATTGTGATGCCTTCTGCTTCACTTTTCTTGCTAAGGATTGCTTTAGCTATTCTGGGTTTCTTAAGAGTCATTTAGTTTTAATGGCAAATGACTCCATTTCTCCTAAGAGGGGCATTGTTTTTTTTTCTTTTAATCCATTCATCTTCCTTAATTTGATCTTAGACATTTTAATTTCCAGCCTATGGCTCAACTTGAACAGAAAGATTTCATATGTCATGGAGACTATAATTTGTCACCACAAAGATTGCCTGTCACTGTTCTGTGGGTTTAAAAGGTTTTTAAAAACTATATATTTTTTTAAATTTTTAGTGACAACCCTCTTCCTGCACATCTGATCAATGACACTAATCATCTTAGGTTTTCCAGCCCTCCCATCTGTGTGGCCCTCCCCCTACAATTCTGAACTCAGTATCGGCCAATGATTAGGATAAGTGATGCTAACTCAGGTCTAATCTCCTGGAGCTTCCTGATTTGGCCACACCCACTTCCCAGATGTGACTGGTATGTGTCAGAATTGGCCCCCTTACTGTGTTTTTTGTTACTCATTCCATCTTTCTCTGGCAATATTCTTTGAGCATGAACAGCCTGAACTTTTAGCCAGAGAGGAATTTCTTCATTGAAGAAAAATGCCCTTACAAGTTGTGAACACCCTATTTGAATGAGAGACTTGAGACAACTTTTAACTCTAGTTTGGGCCCATAGTCAGTGTGCAGAATGATTAAGTATACAGTAAAAATCCATTCTTGGGTTTCCACTCCTTTTCTGTGTCTTTGGGAATATACTCTAAAGCTCTGTTTCTTTACGTCATCTACAGTATGAAAGATGTATATTCAGAGTGGGTAAGAATTAGGAAAGACCAAATGGGGTGGCACAGGCCTATAATCCCAGCAGCTCTGGAGACTGAGGCAGGAAGATCATGAGTTCAAAGCCAGCCTCAGCAAAAATGAGGCACTGGGCAACTCAGTGAGATCCTGTCTCTAAATCAAATACAAAATAGGACTGGGAATATGGCTCACTGGTCTAGTCCCCTTGAGTTCAAACCCTGGTTCAAAGAAAAAAAATAGAAAAAATTGCATGTTACCAAAATCAATGCAATTTATTTTCTAGAAGCCATTGAATTCTTTGTGATAAATCATTTATACACACCCTATATCACTGAAGTCTAAGTTAAAGGTGATTTAAAGTTTCCTCTCAAATATTAAGGAGAAAATGATTATTTGAATATTATGCTAAAATTCAAAAATCTGATTCTAGATTGGTACATGAGAGTCCATATTTATAACAAACTCTCAGATGAGACCAATAGCAAATTATGATTGTACATGGACTGCAGTTTGAATAATAGTTGTTAGTTAATTTGATAAATGTAAAATAGTACTATAAAATAAAAATAAAAATTAGAAATAATGGCTAATATTACCCAAGTTTAATAGAAACTATAGCTCACAGTTCCATCGAACTCAGTATAGCTGAAGTGTATGCTTGTAAACACACACACACACACACACACACACACACACACACACAAAATGACGCCAAGAAACACCATAATTAGATTGCTCAAAACCAGTATAAGGTAAACAATCCTAGAAGTAGACAGAGAAAACACATGCATTTTCTACAGAGAAAGGGTAGGAATGAGAATAGACTTCCTTTAAGGAAAAATAAGGTACAACTAAACTGATAATTATTATGAAAGATTTGATTTGTGTAAATCCTGATCTTTTAGCCTATTTCTATGAAACATGATTTTAAAATGAAAATAAGATGTGTACTCCTATTTGTTTCCAAAGTTTCTGCTGAAGACCTTTGTTCTCTGTGGCTGAGCAATTTGCTACTGTTGCAATTTGTATGTTTATGCTTACAAAAATGCCCTTTGCCTTTAGATCTTTGTGGACTCCATGTGTTAAAGGCCAATTTTGCTTTCTGTTATATTGCACTGTGTAAAGGATGATATTTTTCACTCAGATTCTGATTTCTAATCTCTTTATTTCTCGATGATTTTACTGTCAGTAGGAAGTCTGTTAAGTATTTGTACAATCTGCTATAAAAATGACCTCCCAAAGTGATGTCCTGAGAAAAAATCTGAAGACAGTCCATGGTTACCCCATGGTCTATGCTTTTGCGCACAACTGGGAAAGGATTGAACAGTTCCGCAGCAGGCCAGATGACATTGTGATAGCCACTTACCCCAAATCAGGTGAGCTCTGCAGCTTGACTGATGCAGGTCTGACTTCAACTTTCATTTTCTGGAATCAACTTCTCTGTAAAATATCATCCTACGTGAAGTTAACATTCCTATCCCTCAGTGCCATTCTCTCTTTCCAGTGTATTAAAATGAACATTGTGGTATAGAAACGGAAACTCAGGATTACTTTTTTTTCTAATAGATTATAGTAAGATGGCAGGCTTTCGCTTTTCCTACTATAATTAGGTGCTTACTATAAAAATAATTCCTTTTTTTTTTCCTACAGGTACCACTTGGATTAGTGAAATCTTGGACATGATTCTAAATGGTGGAGATGTTGAAAAATGTAAGCGAGATGTTATTACTACTAAAGTTCCCATGCTGGAAATGGCTGTTCCTGGATTAAATATATCAGGTAAATTTGTCACCTGGTCATTGTAATTTTGTAGTATTATTTACATAGATGTGTATTATTATGTTCCTGATGGCCACTCAAAGAAATTCATAGATTTGGCAGCATGAAATGAGAGTTTGCAAGCAATAGGATTACCAAGTCATATAAAGAACTGTTGCTTACTCCATTGCATATCCAGGTATGATACAAAAGATGAAAGAGTTCAATAGTACAAAGCAGTTAAAAATTTGGTTAATAATATGAATAGCATTCCTCATGCTTCATTGACTTTTATTGTACAGAATTTGTCACAATGAAACAATCATTTCAAACTTGGGACATTCTTGTAATTTAAGAAATAGGCAAAGAAGTACCAACTCTGTTTTAAGAACAGAATTTATTAATAAAATTTGTTTTTCATTTCACAAATATTTATTGAGTACTTCTTAAGAACTTCACTGTGCTATTAGTCAGTTACAAAATGATTATTAACTTATATATTTATACCCGGGAAGCTTACAAATGTATTTTGACAATGAAATTGTGAATACATTAATAACATCTCAATATTATTAGTTTTTATAAAGTATCAGATGCTAGGAAAGAGAATAATAGGAGAGTTTCCTTTAGGTTGGATGTTAGGGGCAGTTGCTGGAATTAAAACTCAAAACTATGCGCACAGTTGGAAAAAGCACATTCCAAGAAGGCAAAGCATTAGGTATAAGGGTTTATTTATTTATTTTTGAGTGGAAGGGTACCAGGGATTGAACTCAGGGACACTTAACCACTAAGCTACATCCCCAGCCCTATTTTGTATTTTATTTAGGGACAGGGTCTTACTGAGTTGTTTAATGCTTCATTTTGCTGAGGCTGGCTTTGAACTCACAATCTTTTTGCCTTATTAGCCTTCTATGCCATACACGAATATGCCATAAGCAACTTGATGTAGAAATTACCCTGGTGTAGGACACGGACTAAAAAATGACCACTGAAAGAGGGGAAATAGGCATGTAAAGCAGAGATTAAGCAAGGATAAATTATGTGAGGCTTGTGATTCTTAACTTGGTCTTCAATTTTATTCTAAACAGTGCAAAAGAAGCAAGGAAGAGATATAAAGCTGTGTTATTTTTATTATTTAAAATGTAATTATTCCACTGACTTCTGAGAGAGATGGATTTGAAGATTCCAAACAAGATACATGTTGTATCTATTGTATTGATGAACAGTATAAGAAATATAAGGGAAACGTAGTAATTAAGGGCAATTCCCATAGTTTTATTAAAATCAATCAAGTGGACTATGGAACCATTTACTACTATGGAAAATATTTGGACAGAAATACATCTGGGTATAAGACAATTAATAATCAGCTTTGAAATAGTAGGTTTGAGATGGCACTGAAAAATTTAAATAATGAATTAAAATCATAGTATTTGGAACATGTTGAAATACATGCATTAGGGCCACAGCATAACTAGCATGGAAAGTCATGCTATTGCCCAAGGAAAAATAGCAGGAAAACATGAGAAGAACAGAACTCTGTGGAAACCACCAAGATGTGGAGGCTTGGTAGGGAAACAGGAGTTGCCAAAAGACACGGAAAAGAAAGTGTCATTTACCAAGGAGGGAGGGAAAGAGCATGGAGTCCTACAGGCATGATTGAAGGGTAGCTGAAGGGAAGTTTGTCTCTTGAGTGCTTCTGGAAACCAGAGATAAGAAGATGGATGGTGGTAAACCTTCCTGTTAATGTGAAGAGCAGAATCCAAACCCTCTCCCATGGAGGATGTATCCCTCAGCAGATAGGCTGGACTAATAACTTCCATAGGCAGGCAGGGATCAACTGAAAGGGTATCATCAGTTTTTACTGTGGTTGTAAGCTAAGGGCAAACTGATAAGGCTGGAAACTGAAGGATTATGTTGAGGCAATTTCCACAATGAGGTAAGACTTCAAATCCAGATTCCTCAGAAAATCATTTGACCCATTTATCCCACTCTTCAGCATATACCCAAAGGACTTAAAATCAGCATACTATAGTAATTGGCCACATCTATGTTCACTGCAGCTCCATTTACAATAGCTAAGCTATGGAACCAAACTAGGTGCCATTCAACAGATGAATGGGTAAAGAAAATGTGGTACATTACACACAATGGAATATTGCTCAGCCAAAGGAAAGTGTGAAATGAAAAAGTGATTGATCCAAAATAATCTGAGACAAAAAGTCAAGAATCATTGGTATGAAGCAGGGTTAGGATTTGAGGATTGCTTGGTAGGGCTGCCAGAGAGGGAATAGTTGTTCAGCTAGGAGATGAGGATAGACTCTGGCTTTCAGATCTACTCTGAAGCCTGAATGGGGATTATTGTGATGTCTTTGTGTCTTCTTAGCATGCATGTTTGTGGATATAAAGGGCTCATTTAAAGATACTCATATGGCAAAATGATTGTAAGATAGAGAAGGGAAAGAAATACTACAGGGAAGCTGAGGGAGAGACCTGGAAAAATAGATATGAGAAGACTTCATAAAAATAACAGAAGCAAGTTCATTTCATGGACATTTGGGAAGAGTGAATTATGGAAAATTATAATTTCTCATTTCTCTGTGATTGGTAAAGTGACTGCAGCCACATTAGAAGTATAATAAAATCCCTAGTTGAATTTTATACTTCTCTAATTAATGTTTTCAGATAATATACAAGAAACTCAATTAAGTTGAAAATTCAGAAAAGTAACCATTGTTGTATGTGAGATATTTTTGCTAACAAGATCTATTTTTTAATATAAAATTAAAATTTAACTGGACATTTTGCTTCTGCCAATCCTATTTTTATTGACATAAGAAGGTTCTTCTTAATGCTAATCATATGCTGTCCACTCTGCTCTACTGGACATCCCTGGGTGAAGAATATGAGTTACTTCCCTGTTCTGCTGGAACATTCATTGTATTGAGTGTGTTTGTGGGTGAGGATGGGTAGGAGGTATGGCAAAAGTAACTAAAAAAGTAAACAAACTTAAATATGTATCATATAGAACATGTGAAGAGAATGTCATAATGGCAACTAAGAGACTTTTAACATATATAAGAAATTATTGCAGCCTGGTGCAGTGTCACATACCTATAATCTCAGTGGCACAAGAGGCTGAGGCAGGAGGATCAAGAGTTCAAAGGCAGGCTCAGCAAAAGCAAGGCACCTAAGCAATTCAGTGAGACCCTGTCTCTAAATAAAATACAAAATTAGGTAGACCTTTCTATGTAGAAGGTGAAAATATTATATAGGATTAGAAGTTAATTTAAATGTTATATTGGATATAAATAATATTGTGAAAAACAAAGGAAGGATGCATAATACCTTAAAATTTATTGGAATAAAGAGCTGCGAGAGAGGATAAAACTTCAAATTACTAAAGTGGGCATTTCTATCCCCCGATTTGGAGAAAGGGGAAATGAAGCATGGAGACTCAAATATTTTTGAAATATCTCAAAATGAATAAGTAATAGTATTTCAACTCAGGAAGGATAGTCTCAAATTGAACACTCAACTATTACACAACACTCCCCCTTGGAATACAGAGAAATGAATTGGTACAGCATTTAACTACATGATATGCTGCTCAAAACATCTTGAAATATTGGTTGGGAAGATGAGAAAATACAGGCTCCTTGGAGACTCTAATATTTCTAAATGCCAAACTAAAATTCCCCAGGTATAGAACACTTAGAGAAGAATCCATCACCTCGTCTCGTGAAGACACATCTACCAACTGACCTTCTTCCTAAGTCTTTCTGGGAGAACAACTGCAAGGTAGATGCTATACTGGAAGCTGATTTTAAAATGTGACCCTGTCTCTTTACCATGCACATAGTAAGAAAATGGCCACATGTTTAATTGATTTGTGACCATGACCACTGAGCTATATGAGGAATTGTTTCGATTTTTAAAAATTAGTGTAAGCTTCCATGTTTAAGTTATCTAAACTTTAGTAGCAACAGAATCCTCACCTAAGGACAGTGTTACTACTTTCATTCCTCTGGATAATGTGGCCTTCTACAAAAACTTAACATAAGAGTGCTGGTTCTTAATTTGTATGGTAAAATTCTTCAGTGAACATTTATTTGTACCTTCATGTTTGCTTTGCAGTAAGTTTTAAATTCCAAGTTAAATTCTTCAATAACTATAATGCTGTTCAGGTTATCTATTTTATCTTACCTGCTAGTTTGCTAGTTTGTTATCTGTGAGAAATTTTCCAAGTTGTTGAACTTATTAATGAAAAATTATTCATATAATATATACCTACATTATTCTTATAGTGATTTTAGGATTTGTTATACTACTCATTGTTTTGTTCTTTATCTTAGTTGTTTGGATCTTCTTTCTTTTATCTTTGTTGTTCTTGCTAGAGGGTTATCAATTTTATTTTTAAAAATAGATTTTTGTTTCCATTATATTTCTACATTTATTTTCATGAATTTGTTCTTTTATCTTTATTATTGCTCTCCTGCTTGTTTGTATTTAATTACCCTCCCTTTTCTAATTTATTCACATAAACATGTGGATTATTAATTTGATGCCTTTCTTCTGGAGTTAGAATTTAGTGTAATAATTTCCTCTCAGAATTGCTTTGGTTACATCTCACAAATTTTGATATGTTGTACTTTGATTTTCATTCAGTACTATGAATGTTTTTATTCCATTTTTTAACTGTAGGATTATTTGAAAGTGTGTTCTTTAATTTGCAAGTGTTTAAAAATTTTCATGTTGCAATTTGGTTATTGCTTTCTAGTTTGATTCCATCAAAGACCATACATTATATAATTTTTAGTTTTTAAAATATCTTATATTTTATCTCTATTTTTGTGAATGTTCCATGGACATTTGAGAAGAATGCGCATTTTTCTTTTTTGGTTGAAACATTCTATAAATTTTGGTTAGACCCCATCGCTTGATAATATTATTCAATTCTTTGTCTTTGCTTGTTTTCTACTGGTTGGTGGTTTGGTCAGTTGGTGAGGGTAGAGTATAAATGCCCCCAACTATAAATTTTGACTTGTCTATTGCTGATTTCAGCTTTACTAGGTTTTGCTCTGTGTGTTCTGAAGTTATATTTTTTTTGTGTTTGTGCATTAGGATTGCATGATCTCCCCAGTAGGTTCATCCTTTTGTCATTATGCAATGTCCTTTCTTGTCCCTAGTAATTTTTTCTACTGAATTATACCTTGTCTAATACTCACACAGACACTCCTAGTTTTTCTTTCTGCCAAATTGTCTTTAAATTCATATACTTATACCATTTACCTTGAAAAAAAATTGACATTTTAAAACTGAAATCTGTCATGTTTTTTCTTTTTTTGTTGTTGTCATATCTTTGTTTCTGCATTTTTCCATTCTTACTTTACCAGAATGTTTTTTAAGAGGGTCATTTTCACTTACTTTTAATGTTTTTGAGTTTTTTGTTCTTTTTTTGTTTTGTTTTTACATATGGTTTTCTCAGCGACTGCTCTAGATGTTACTATAAACATATAAACATACATAACTTATCATAGACTATTGTTGTGAACATTTTCTAACTTCAATTTTATTTCCTATACCCTCTCCGTGTGTTAAACATAATGGTCTGAACTGTTTTCCTGGACATGAATAAATTGCCTCAACAGATGTTCTTTTAGCCTTTGCTTCAATTATAAAATATGAAGAAAAAACTTGCCAAGTCAAAGACATTCTGTTTACTTCTCTTTAACCCATTTTCTTGCTCTTTTTTTCTTTCTGAAGATTCCATTCTTCTGTGGTTATTTCCTTTCTCTTCAGAGCTTGGATTAGCCCTTCCTTAAGATAGGTCTGTAAGTAAGAGTTTTTTTTTTTTTTTTCCATACCCCTTATCTGATAATGTCTTATTTCCCTTCCTGCTGGAAGTAGAGTTTTACCTGCATACAGATATGCAGTTGACAATATTTTGATTTCTGTACTTGAAAAGTATCTTGCCATTTCTTTTTGGCCTTCATGATTTTGAATGAGAAATTCATTGCCATTCACATTAATGATCCTTAAAAGGCAATGTGGTATCTCTCTGGCTGGTTTTAAGGTTTTTATTTGCCCTTATATATAGAAGTTTATTAACAAAGTTGTCTTGGTCTGACTTTATTTGGTTTCTCCTTTTTGGAGTTAATTTGGCTTCTTGGATCTATAGATTTATTTGTTTCAATATATATGGGTGTTAGCTGTGACATTTTGTTACTGTGACCAAAATACCTGAATAGAGCTACTTAGAGGTAGAAGAGATATTTTGGGCTCATGGGTTTCAAAGGATGTTCCATGGTGGACTGACTCCATTGCTTTAGGCCCAAAGTGAGGTAGTACATCATAGAGGAAGGGTGTGGTGGAAGAACACTGCTCTATTCATGGTGACCAAGAAACAGAGAAAGAGAGAGGAAGGAACCACAGGGAAGTTGAACCCTTCCAGTGCATGCCCCCAGTGACCCATCTCTTCTAGCCATGCCCCACCTGCCTACAGTTACCACCTAGTTAGTCCATTCAAAGTAGGATGAACTGATTAATTTCAGCTCTCACAATCCAATCATTTTACCTCTGGATTTCTTTGTATTAACACAGAAGCTTTTGGGGGACACCTCATGTACAAGCCATAACAATTTGTGAGGTTTTAGTCATTAATTCTCCAAAATATTTTTTCAGTTTTTTTTCTTTCTCCTATTATTCTGGAGTTCTGAATATATGACTGAGAGATCTTTCATTATGGTTTCACAGATCCCTAAGATTCTGTTCATTTCTCTTCAGTCTTTTTTCTCTGTGTTGTTTACATCAAGTTACATCTATTGATGTATCTTCAGGTTTGCTAATTGTATCCTCTATTATGGCTACTGTATTATTAAGTCCACCCAGTAAGCTGTTTTTATTTCAGTTATGGTAGATTTTAGGTCTATTATTTCCATGTATATAAAACTTTTCATGTATAACACATCTTTCCTATCTATATTTTCATTTGTTTAAAGAAAAAATTTAATTGAGTGCCATAACATCTTTATATGAAGTTGATTTAGAATCTTGTTTAGATAACTCAGAATTCAATTCATCTCAGTATTGGTGTCCTTTGTCTTTCTACATTTAAATTGAATTTTCCTAGTATTTAGAAAAACAGATTATTTCTATTTATATCCTGGATATTTTGACTATGTTTTTAGGATTAGTTTTAGTAGTTATTCACCCTGTTGAGGTTTACCATATAGATTTTTACTGTATTTTGGGGACTTTGTTCCTATAGGAGTTTTTTTTTTTTCCTAAGTCTGTGCAATGTTTTTCTTGTTGTGTTGATATTCTGGGGTTGTTGGTGATCTTTCTTTGTCCCTGCTCATGCCTTATGCAGAGGCATATGATACCTCCTAGGACCACTGGCTAGTACTGACTGAACGACTAAAGGAGAACAGAGCCTTGATGTCTGGGTCTCCTTGTGCCACCTGGTGGAGGGCATGCAGAAACAGAGCTTTGCTGCTGTGGTATATGGAACTACCCATGGGGGCCTCAACTGTGGATCAGAAGCTGGGAAAGTCCGGGGTATCAGGTCATGTAGATGGGCCCAAGTATAGAACAGAGTTTGGGATTTTCCACTATGTCTTTTTGGGCTTCTTATTTTATGATCTTTTGTCTAGAAATTAGGTTTTGTTTTATTTGGTTTATGCTTGCTAAAGGTTCCAGGTCACAAAGCTCCTTGTTGTCCAGTTCAAGAGCATACAGGAGGTAAAAAGAAAATCCAGAGGGAGCTTACTATATTAGTTTCCTCAGGTTATTCAGTTCCAGAGTTCCTATATCACTGTGTTAAGTTTTTAGGGCTTTAGTGATCCTTAGAGGAGAAAAGCAGGGGCAAGTGGATCTGTGTCTTCCAGTTTTTGAACTGAATGCCCCTAAAAACTCATTTTCATGCCTGTCCTTGCTTTTTGCTTCCTCCTTAACCTTTATCTTTTTCAACCTGTTGTATGCTTCAGATGCTTAAGCGGAGCATTAAATAAGGTCACTAAAGACAATTTTCTTACTTTCAATTTGCTTGTTATTCTCTGTTCTTCCTGAAGATGTCGCTGTTTATTCATGGATCCCAGAGTCAAAGGAGCCAGAAACTGACAAGGCTTTTTCCAAAGCACTCAGAACTTTCTGCTTCTTATCTCAGAAAAAACATTGCTCTACCAGAAAAATCACTTAAATTAATTCTATATTTGAAGTGTTGATGAAGAAGCATTATGGTTCACAGTTTCTAGGAGGAAAAAGCACTCTGCCATTTTAATTATCTATGAGTGTTTTTTTGTTTGTTTTCTTTTGTGAATAACTTTCATTTTATTTTCTTTTTCCTCTCTCCTGCAGATGATTTATGTTGCTCGAAATGCCAAGGATGTTGCAGTATCATTTTACCATTTTGACTTAATGAATAATTTACACCCTCTTCCTGGAACATGGGAAGAATACTTGGAGAAATTCATGACTGGAAATGGTTAAGTGATCTTTAGCTTAAAATTCACACATATATATGTGTATGAATTTATATATTTATATATATATATATATATGTTTAATTTTAAACAGTACTGTTAGCCAGTACTGTTATGGATTTTCATTTCAAAACTTATTTTTTTAAATAAATATTTCAAACTCAGCACAAATACATTCAAATTCCATTTTAGAAAATTAGTCAACTGGCCTGATATCAATCACTAGCATAATGAAAGTATTTTATATTCCTTTCTCAGTTGCTAGAAATCTGTTCTCAGTCTGTGCTCACAGTAGACATTGCTTAACTTGCTCAAATCATTAGTTAGCTCTGTTACACCTGCATTTGTAATAGATACTTGATAGAAAACATTTGTATGAGAATAGTTTCCTTCCATGTGAGACTGAATATAATTTATTGGCAGTCATTGTATTTTTATCTGAAATGTTTCCTTTGTATTTCATATTTAAAGAAAATTATTTGCTTGCACATCTATAAATGGCTAATTTTACCTCTTAAAATTGATCTTATATTCTCAATTCCCATGATTACTAAATTCCACAAAAAGTCTTTACAATTTAACTCACTGTTCAGAAAAAAAAATGATTTGATGAATGTTATGGAAATGGACTTTTTCTCTGGTTTTAGTGGCCTATGGTTCTTGGTTTAATCACGTTAAGAACTGGTGGAAGAAAAAGGAAGAACATCCGATACTTTTCTTGTACTATGAAGATATGAAAGAGGTAAAAGTGGCGGATATAATGGATAATATCTTTGCTCTGTCCTAGGGCAAAACGATTAATCTTTATTTTTGAAACTGTCTCAAGTCCAAAATAATATCACTGCTTTCCTATCCTCCATGTCTGCTTATCTGAATCTTGATAGAGTCATTAACAATTTTCTAATTGAGAAATCAATGATGTATATTCATTTTTCTCATTCCTTAACCACTGTGTTTCTTTGAGCATCCTTTCCTTTTGAAATTGTCTCCTAAATTTCCCCAGATTTCATACTCATGATCATCCTCTGTATACTGTCCATTGACTCAGTTGTTTTTCTTTTTGAAATGTTTCGATCACGTCCAGGCTCACTTTTCCCATGAATATTTATGTCACTGTCCAACACAGGAATAGGCAATGCATTTCGGTAAATTGTAACTCATCTTTCTCAACTTCAGTTTGAGTTCCCCCAAATCTTCTAGATCTATCCATGGAGATTTTTTTGCTTTTAATGAAGTTACAAAGGTGAGTTTTCATCATTAGCAACTGAGAATGACCCACTTTTCATATTTAGTTCATTTTATTCTTAATAGTTAATGAGTAATTTAGTTCTTGATATCTTTGCACCTTATAATCTTGTCTGTTTTTTATACTTTTTTGAGGTGCTTAGATTGAGCCCATGCCTCAAGCATGCAAGGCAAACACACTACCACTGATCCCTGGAGTCTTCTATTTAAAAAATATATATATTTTATGCCCAAACATGTTCTGTTAGTTTTCAAGGCAAATTTCAAATCTTCAATAATTTTAATTACTTTAAAAAATTATGGAGAATGAACCCAACTAATTATAAATTTCCTTCAACATTTGGGGTCAACCCATAAGAAAATTATAAATTTGTGTTTTTTTACATTATGATAGTTATTTATACTCCCATCATTTCCTTGGATGTATGTTTTCCCCACTGATAGAATCCAAAGGAGGAAATCAAGAAGATTACTGGATTTCTAGAGAAGAACCTGAATGATGAGGTCTTGGATAAGATCATCCATCACACCTCATTTGAAGCAATGAAGGACAATCCTCTGGTGAATTACACACACCTGCCCACTGCAGTAATGGATCACAGCAAATCTCCTTTCATGCGCAAAGGTAAACACTTTGCTCATTTTAACCTCCTGTTTTACTTTATTCTGGAGGATTAGGTCTGTGATCTGTCCTGCATTATTTAACTTGTTTAGGGTTTGGTTATTCACCTGTAAAAAATAGGACTCTAATAATACCTAGCACCAAAAGGTGCTCAATTTGCATCAACATTATTAAATGAAGTAATGTGTATAAAGCTGTTTGTAGAATACAATGAATGTCTGAGGAGTATTTCCCCTGTTACTTACTGTTCTGCTACATAGAAGTGGTTTTGGAGAATTGTGGTGAAAATACAATGTCTTCATTCTTCTTTAATTCTTTGTCTAACTTGGCATAGGCCCCTTTCTCCTCCTCAGTATTATATAAATTTTACTCAGTACCATACTCTGTTCTTTACAGCCTCCACATCATTTAGAAAATAGTGGTCATTTATTTCACTAAGAAGCTTCACCAAAAGGAAGGACTTTTTTTTTTTTTTTTTTTTTTTTTTTTTAAATCCTATGGGAAATTGCTGCTTCTTACAGATACTATCTGAATTACAGGAAGCAGAAACAAAGTCCAGATTTAACATAGGAGAATATAAAATTTGGTGTTAAAATACAATTTTACCATATTTATGAAAATTGTGGGCTGGGTGCATGTTTGTAATCCTAGCAGCTTGGGCGGCCTCAGGAGGATCACGAGTTCAAAGCCTGCTTCAACAAACGTGAGGCCCTAAGCAACTCAGTGAGACCCTGTCTCTAAATAAATTATAAAAAGAAAAAAGAAAATTGTGTGTATTGTGACTTATAATAGGAAACATGTAAAATGTGTTACTATTAATAAAAACACACTTAACAAATTATCTCAAATCTGAGAATTTATCCATCTAATAATTATATCACCATATAATTTCAATATTCTTTCTTGTGTGAGTGGGTGGAGAAGAATTTCAGTTAAAGTTCTTGGAAGCAAGCATAACTGTATAAATGTGTTCTGCACATGAACACATGAATGAAAACCATCAATTTGAAATGAGTTATACAATGAAGTCTTTTCTAAAGAGGTTTTGATAACATTAAAACATAAAATATACTTAACGTTTTCAAATTAAGCTTTTTCCCTGCAAAATACTGCATATGACATCTTAAAAATTACCTCTAGTAAAAGAGAGAAAGGCAGACTTTTCTTTATAAACATTACATTATAATTGGAGCAAAAAATAAATATATGTATAAAATATATAATATAAAATATAATATATAAAAGATATATAATGTATTTTTTTCACTCCCTAGAAGAAAATTTAAAAACTCTTTTTTAAGCAAATTCTCAGTGATAGATCACTGAATGTAATTTCCAAGATATTTTTGTTACTTCCAATCAGATAAAAATTGATGCCATCCTATGACATCTACTAAGATGTACATGTAGAGGAAACAACCTTTCATCTGGATTATTTAACTTCTCCAGTTCAACAGGAAGAGTACTTGCTTTTCTAATAATGAGATCAGTTTTTGTATTTCCTCTGGTGGTGATAAAGAAAAAAACATTTGTGGTAGATAGATCTAGTATATATCCAGGCTATGCATTTGTCAAAATCTGTGATACTGAATACATTAATTCACCTGCCAAAGTTCTGTCTACATTATTGACAAAATGGGAAAACTATGAACATTTATCTAATAAGTTTTTGTGGGAGTATTGTAGCAAATCAAATGCAAGCATTTAGGGTGTTTTATAAACATAATACATGAAGAAGTAATAAATAATATGGGTCTAAATAGTTCAAGATTCATCTGTTCAGTCCTTCACTCATTCTTGTATTTACTCAGTAATTCACATATACGATATGCTCTTTCTGCATACCTACATGCAACACATACTTGGGACATTCAAGAATAAGTGACAAATACATTTTCTTCAAAAAGCTAACAATGGAATCTAAGAATCATACAAATGAAAGCTGGAAAGGGATCAATGTGAAGTAGGTCACAGGAACCTTGCACAGCCAGATTGGAAAAATGTCTTCATGGGAAAAATTAATGTCCTCATTTAGTGGCACAATAGTCAGCATAAAGGAGGGGACAGATGGTGTCCAATGTCTATTCCTATGTCCCAACTAACAGCAACAACAACAACAAAATCTGGCCTTTGGCCAGCATTTACTTTATTTAAAAAATTGTTACAAAGTGTTTATGTATATTATATAATTGATGCACATTTCAGAAGATCACCAGAATGCTTCACATATAACTTTTTATTTCTTTTTTTTATTTCTTTTTTTCCTTTTTTAATTGTTGGTTGATCAAAACATTACATAGTTCTTGATATATCATATTTCACACTTTGATTCAAGTGGGTTATGAACTCCCATTTTTACCCCATATACAGATTGCAGAATCACATCAGTTACACTTCCATTGATTTACATATTGCCATACTCGTGTCTGTTGTATTCTGCTGCCTTTCCTAAACTTTTTATTTCTTAAATTTGTGTTCTTCTGTGTTTTTAATGACATCCTTGCTGATACACTACCCCATATATGTTTGTGTAACTCTTCATGTACATTACAAAGAGCTGTTACCATTTGGTAAACATAAAATAAATTATATTAAGCAGAACGGCAACCTTGTTTAGGAGTGTATTTTTCATTGAGAATACCTGCAAGTTTTATTAAGGTATCATGAATTAACATAGTTCATAATTCAATATTTCATAAAATGAAAAATGCATTTTCCTCCTAGAATTTTAGCAGCATATTAACAGTTTATTCATTTTAAAAATGAATTTTTATAATCACCAAGTATTAGAGCTTAAATGTACATTTATGTCCTCTGAATTTTATTGTAAAAAAGATATTCAGGGGATGTTCTATGTGTGATTTTTATAGTGCTATTCTTACCCAACTTGAAAATCAAGTGCAAACCTGGTGAATTTTGGGGGAAAACAAGTGTCTTCCAGGTATCATTATATTTTTATTTATGAATGCTAGAAAACTATACATCCACATTCTGTTTCATGGTTCTTTGGGCTAATGATTGTTCTTTGTACATTTTTGCAAAGTAACTCAGGAAATATAATAAGTCCTGAGTTTTGACCCAGAGGATTCAGTGATAATCCCATGACCCAGAACAGTCAGAAAAAAAAAATAAAAGAATCTCAGGAAAAAAATTGCGCATCCATGAATTTATATACAAAAATTAATCCTTCTAACTTTTAAAAACTTAGATTGTGTGTTTAGTTATAAGCCACATTTACAAATGAGAGGAAATTTCCAACTTTTTTAGTAAATGACACTTTAAAGTTTTCATACACAAGCAAGACTTTCCTTATGGCTTCTAATTGTTCTTTTGGTGTATGTTAGGTTTTCCTTCATAATGGATATATTTTAATTTTTCTTGTTTTTTTTAATTTTTAGGGATTACTGGTGACTGGAAAAATTACTTCACAGTGGCCCAAAATGAGAAATTTGATGCCCTTTATAAAAAAGAAATGTCTGGAACTACACTTCGATTTTGCATAGAGATTTAAAGTGCTGAACTGTAAATTGAAGAAAGAAGAGATGACTCACAGTTTTTAGAAATAGAGCAGCTATGACTTGGCTGAACAATCAAATGATTATAGGAAGTAAAGACCTTGATTTTAAAACTTTGGATTTTTCAGCATCATTAACGGGGCTTCAGTTTGTTCCACTGTCTCTGAGATTCCTAAATCCCTAAAGCCAAGCCCATCATTCCCTTTTTTTGTAGGCCAATGCTTCCTTTTCCTAGATCAAACCAGATAAGACAGTATTTACCCTCTTCAGTCTCTTATATCTTATGACTTAATTAAGTTCATTTCCCTCTTACTGTGGTCTAAGAAATGCTGTTTTTTCAAACTAACACTGTATTTTCTACCTCTGCTGGTTTCCTTTGCTGAATTATTTACCCAGGACACTGTGTTCCACTATTTACTGGGTGTCAAGCTATTCTTGAAGTCATACCTCATCTTTCTCTATTTCTATAACACACAGTTCATATTCCAGATCTAGTGAAAATATTTTTTTTCTATACCTTATTTCATGTCCAGGTCTCAAAAGGGCAAAGACTTACCTTATTCTCTCTAAGGTCTTCCCTGGGGACTTGAGCTTGTCTCTGAGAGCCTCTGTGAGGGCCAGGCCTGCTTCCTGTGGAGAGTCCTCTTCTCTTAGCAGACCCTTTTCAATTTCTACAAATCACACATGGCCATGCTCTGGTCACTTTCATCTTCTCCAAATAGATTTGGATTCCCTAATAGCACCCAAGATAGGGTTATAAATGCTGCTGAAAAATTTCCAGTCTGCTGTCCAAAGAAGATTAGTCTGAGTCTCACTCTGCCCTCCTGACCCAGTATCCCTCCTACCTACTATCCCACACTATGGCTACGTGCTTCAACTCTTTGATAGATGTTTCCTGGGAACATTTATATTTCAACTCTGGTTCTTCCATGCATGTAGCTATGCCTCTATTCATGTGCAGCAAGAACTTTTACCTGAAGTTCATATCAGCATGTGCCAAATTATATCCAAAGCCACCGTTCCCAAACTGAAGCTCCTTAGAGTGCTCTGGGCTGGTCCCTTTCATGTTCAGGAGTTGGAACTTCAAATGCATTTCAGATCCCCTGAGGCATAATACAGATATCAGTGGGTCATAGTTTTGCAAATATATCCTCTCAGTCTGGAATATTTGGAAACACTCCTTCAGCCTGTAACTACACTCCTTTTTAATCCCAGCAGAAGAGTGATATAGAATCAAATCTATATTTCAAATCTATAAGTTATTGCCTCTACTTCTGGAAATATTTGCTTCTATACATTTACAGTGTATGCTATAAATTAAATCAGGGTATAAAACTTGTGTTCATGTGCTTTATAAACATATTTTGAGAGAGTTAATCCTGTGATTTTAGGGATATTTTGAACTAATTCCAGCTAATACTGGTGTTAAGAAGGAAGTAAAATAAGCCAATCATGTCTACTTGCTTTGTTATCTTTGCTAACACTAAGATTATGTGGCCTAACACATATGGGCTTCTGCAACTATTGTCTGTTATTGAGAAAAAATCTCTGATCTAGACTTTAATCTTTCCAATAGATTGGCTGCACTAGTTGTCTTCACTAGCAGGATGTAATAATTTCCCCATTCCCTAGTTTTTCTTTTTAGGAAGAAGTTTCTAACTGGACTTGGTTCAGCAATAACAAAATACTGTAAGATTATCTATTCTCCAGGTATTTTTCTATGCACTAAATGTAGAGTGGAAAACAAAATCTAGATTTTCCTTTCCTTTTCTATGGGTTATTTCCTCCTATTTATTCCTTAATCTATGATTCAAACATCCATTCTGATTCCTTCACTTTAAAGCTCACTCTTAATGCCACGAATTCCTAGTAGAATTCAGTTTTGGAACTGCTCTATATGTTTTGAAACCATAAAAAAACTGCCATCAAATTAATTTTTCATAAATAAATTTTATCTCTATTTCTCTTTTAATTGCCAAATAAAACACAGTTACATTAACTTCAACCTCATGTTGTTGTTGTTGTTGTGTTTTTGTTTGTTTGTTTGTTGATTGGTTGGTTGGTTTTTTTTAACCTAACTGATGTACCATGAAGTAAGGACAGTGGTAACAAACATCTGTCAATGATGTGAATATTCCCTTATCTGCCACAAGTCTCATTATTCAATTAAGAAGTTAATAAACTTTTTAATAAACATCACAGCACAGAAATCTATTCCCTTTCACTGTACCCTGCTCTAACTTGTCTTACCCACACCATTTACTCCTTTCCACCCTGGCCTTATTTTTCATTTGGTACAGTTACACCCTTTGAGGATTTTGAGGTTTGAGTACTATGCCCCATTTCACCATCAATCGACACAACACTCTCCTCCATATTTCACTGTGCCTTTCATATACAGACAAGAAGGTAGTACAACCTATTTCAAATACTTGATGTTAAAGAGATGTGAAAGCCAATTATTTTGCTAGAGTTTTTCAGAAAACTCACCAAGGCAAGAAGGAAAAATAGGCCTAGAATTCACTAGTTTTTAATAAGCTATCTGCACAAATGTCTCATTATTATTTGTGATGCTTGGACTTGTTATATATAAATAAAATTTCTATGTTATTAAAATGTTACCTTAAGCAGCAATCTTTTTTAAGCTGCCACTTATCTAATACAACATTAATTATTGTTATTTGCCATACGAAATTCATTGATGACTATTTGGTGGCTCTTGTGCCATTGACTTTTGTAACTTTTTGTGATATCTAATGCTTGATTTAGAGGTTAATTTAATTTTCTACCTTCAAAATATAAGTAGTCAAATGTCTTAGTAGAAAGTAAAGCATCAAAATTCATAGCTTCTATCTCACTAGTTAATAAATTGGCATATTGGTTTTTGTGCCTGGAAACGGGGACTAAATCAGAAAAGGAAGCAATAGAGAACAGAAGATAAGAGCACAGACTAGAGTAAAAGTCTTTTTGGCATCTGGTCTGTGCCACTTTCTAACCATGAAACTTGGGAACTTGAGACTGTAACTTAACTTTCCTATTGACTCAATTCCTTATCTGTACAATGTACACAGTGGGAAATTCTAAAAAGGATGACAAGAAATATTCAATAAAATAATTAGAATGGTACTTCTTATATATTGGTATGCTCACTTATTATTAGATGCCATTAAGAAATTTGGTTTTATAAATCTTGAAATTTTGTTTATCTAAATGGGCTTAAAGCATCAAATTTTTTATTTCACACAGATGACTTCAAAATGACAGATATTTTACGTGTTAATGAGAGGAAAAGAGTTCTCTGATTTTATTACATCTAATGATCATTCTTTTATTGTTTATTCCCAAGTTTAATTTTCCACATGTGTTAACTATTACTATATAAGGGATTATTGTCCAATAATAGTATTTTCAATGGAAGCCAATGATCATCATTCAAAGGAAAAGCATAAGAAAGTTGTGTAGATTGTAATACCTCTGCAAATAATGTTTAGAATGTAATGATACAACCTTTGAAAAAATATAAATAAAAGTTAGATATAATCAAGCAATCATTCTACATGGGTGGATTAAAATTTCTTAGTGGAAATTTGATTTTGCTGGGAAGACTCTACGGTTAGTCTTTGCATCTATGAATATGTATATTCACATTTACCTATAATTTTCTTAATAACTATAGAAGGGGAAAATAAAATGAAATATATGGCAATTGTATAATTTAAAATTCGAAACAATGATATATGGATTGATATAAAATTACTATACCTTGTATCTCATTTTCATTTCAATTAGAATTTATCAGATGTTAGACAATTTTATAGAAGAATTAGTACACCCATTTTTAAAATACTCAAAGTGACACAACTGGGATTCAAATCTAAATCTGTTTGATTCCAACTGTCATTCTTAACCATTATATGACAATACATAGAATTATATATAAGAAGTTCCTATGGATGTTAAGAACATCATCATAGAAACAATTAGGTAATGGTGGTCAATGTTACAGTGTAAAAGTTCCAAGTTGTATTTATTCTCAGAGAACCAGTGTTGCACAGATGCAGCCTAAGAGCCTGTGTTTAGCCTGCCACCTGTGCCGGCTTCATGAATGAAGGGTTGAATAGTGAGAAACCCCTAGGGAGTTTTGAATTAAAGAGACAAGCCTCTAATTACCTTTAAACCAGCTCCAGGACCCATTTTCCTAGCTCCAGCCTCAAGCCACCTATTATGGTAGCGAGGTTTACTGAAGAGGCCAGAGAGAGGGAGAGAGAGAGAAAGAGAGAGAGAGAGAGAGAGAGAGAGAGAGAGAGAGACCAGGGAGTGGGCTTGTATTGGAGAACAAAAAATTCTGGGGAAAATCCCATCCAATGAAGATTAAAGGGGGCAGCATCCCAAGGTCAGGGGCGACAATTGGGTCTTTGGGGTAGTGGCCAGACACACCTCTGCACGGACAAGCCCTCGGAGCTGGAGAAGGGAGGGGAAAGCTCTGACATAGCTGTGTCTAAGCGCTTCTCACCCAGCCAGGGTGGTAACTCAAATCACATGTGAGGATGGCCTCCCACACCTGTGATTAAATTTCTAATGTTTGTTATAAACTATAATTGAACATAATTGGTACTTGTTTATAGTTTTAAATAGTAATGACAATAGCATTTTAAAGACTTTTGTAGGTTAATTAATTTTCCAGTATTGATTTTTAAACTTCCCAATTAGAAAGAAATGTCTCTGGTAAAATGCACCAGTCTCAACAAATGATTAGCAAGATAATTTTTGGAATGCAGCTTACTTTTGAGATGAGCACTGACTCCACTGTCCTGTTCTCTCCTATTGAGGGCTTGAAGAAAACCAGTTGTATAAATTTTATGGAAAAACTTCTCATGCAAGTTGGAATATGAAAAAAAGAGGAGAGAAAACAAAAATCTTCACAACTTATACTCTCTCTATCCCCTACTTTCCTCTAATCTTATTAGCAGGGGAACCAAAAATGCAATGCATATTATAAGCTTTAGAAAAGAAAAAATATCCTTGTGGTTCTCTCTAGAGATTCTGATTAAGAAAGTGTGTAGAATTTGGCCCCAGATTATGTATGTTATATAAACATCAAAGGTGAATCAATGCTTGTATTATCTATTGATTTTTCCTAGTGACAAATTTGAACTACTCATGTGTTCCAAGGAGCAGCTCTATAGGCAGATAGATTATAGATACTTTCAAAACAGCTATCAAGGCATCCCTTTTGCACTGATTGAAATCATATTTATAAATAAAAAGTGAAAAATAAAATGAACAAATGAAATTTAAAACTAATGGTTTAATATAATTTGAAATGAAAAAGTACATTCAGCAAATTACACAGCTCAATATGAGCCTTTGTTCAAATTTGCACACTGTTTCAAGTAGGAGAAATAGAAACTTTCCCAGTATAGTTTTCTCAGTCACTTTTATTTTTTGGGTATTGAGGATTGAACCCAAGGTGCTTAACTATTGATTCACATCCTCAGCCCTTTTTATTTTTGTATTTTTAGACACTGTCTTCCCAAGTTGCTTAGGGAACTTATAGAAATTGCAGAGGTTGGTGTTGAACTTGTTGTCCTTCAGCCTCAGCCTTCTAAGTCACTGTGATTACAGGTGTGTGACACAATACTTGGTTTAAAAGTGTCACTTTTGAATTATGATACTGTTGTACATAAATGTGTGTTTTCTCTTTTCTTGTATTCTGGGACTCTGTTCTCTCAATAGGTTACTCCCTAAATACTAGAAAAAGGAGAAAATGAGGAACTCTCTGAACTTTACTGCTTGATTCAGGGTTCCGATTAATTGATATTCAATTATATTAAGTTAACTGATGTTCAGATAGCCTCAGAAAACAATATATACAATGACATTTGAAAGAGAAGCAATGGTCAGTTTCAAAAATAAAACTCTTTAGTTATGATTCATCTAATGGTCAGCTTCATCTAATTTAAGGCTCTTCCTCTTAACATACTCCATGTTTAGATAGTTTCTATTTAAAAGATAGATTTTTGTTGTAAAGACTACTGTGATCTCAAAATAAAAATGGCTATAACACAAAAATTAAATAAAGATCTGCATAAATTACAAAGAATATTTAGAAATGAAATTCAAAAAAATTAAAGTAAAATCTATAAAGGACCTATTAAGGATTTTATTTGCAATTTATTTGTTAAACATAAATTTTAATGGAGGCTAAAGAGATATCAAAGATGTATTTTTGCTGCTATAAAAATTATGTTTTTTGGTTCAAAATATGATTTTGTTATTGTTAAATTTGTTTTTTAATTTTCCTTGTAGAACTTTATAACTGTTACCTGCTAATGTGGAAGTACTATGTCACGACCCCCTTGCCTGCAAGGAAGACGCGACTCAGGAATCTTCTTTCAGCAGTTTATTCAGGCCCTTGACATTCTTCTAATAATTTTTCTAATCCCCGGAATAATAATTGGATGCCCCTGCCAGCCTTAATAAAGCACCGCGAACCCCAATGCGAAGCTGCCACGTGGACCCTTCTCACAGGGTGCTAGAGAACGACACGCCAACTTTCTCTGATAAGGAGTTGACAATACGCCAACTCTCTCTGATAAGGAGTTGTCCTTCACAGACCACAGCGGAGCCAGCGCCATCATGTAATGGCGACCACAGTCCGCAGGAACGGCTCACCACAGTACTACTTCTAACAGAATAATCTGAGTTAACTTATGATAATCAGCCATCACCTACAGAACAGACAGGATATGATGCTTACTTTGAGTACTCACCGTGACCCCCAAAATGGAAGAGGTGACCATAAAATCATATATATTAAAGTTAAAACTCATTACTTACCCTTAAGACCGGTGTAACTGGCCTGCTCCATGTTTAACCCCAAAACTTGGACACAAAAGAGAAGAGGTATAAAGGCTAAGAGGAAAGCAGCCAATATTTTGGACTTTGTCTTCTAAGACCATCCAGGATCCAGGGAATGATGGAATCTCACTAAGGGCCCTGAAACTGTT